TTACTGGAGTCGACCGGACGCTGGCCCTCAGCGTCCGGTCACTTGACCTCTCCAGCGTCCGGTCAAACCGGACTAGTTCACCTTAGTCAAATGAACTGACCGGACTCTGCGGCCAGCGTCCGGTCGCACCGGAGCCAGTGTCCAGTCAGTCTTTGACCCTCCATTCACTTCCAACTCTCAATCATATGTGAATGAAGTTTGCTCCAAAGGATCTTAGGCATATTTAGGAGCTACCTAGTGCTAGTTTTAACAAGTGTGCATCATACCTAACTCACTAGACTCACCTAGGTCAAGCTACCCGTCCATACCCCCCTTAATAGTACGGCCAAAGGAAAAACAAAGTCCTAAACTACTCTAAGTGTCTCTCCAACTCCAATTAACACTTAGAACTAGTCATCCTTAACCTTGTCGTCCATCCTTTGAAAACCGAAACGATTTCCATCGTAGGGGCATGACATCCATGATTGCCCAATCGATCTCCATTACCATGACCTAACTTAATTGCTTCTGCAAAACACACGTTAGTCACAGTAATCTTGTATTGTCATTAATCACCGAAATCCAACTAGGGGCCTAGATGCTTTCACAACTACTACATGCTTCTAACAGACTAGGGTGTTACAGCCTACTAGGCCCATCTCAGCCTGGGGTGTCAGCCTCGCAGTATATAACATCAGAAAAAACCCCAGTTGCTTTAGAAATCCATCCCACTCGGTTGTCATTTCAGAAATCCATCCCACCCACCTGCACCTCCCTACCACTGCCCCAACAAATGTCGATCCTCCTCTCCCGAGCTCCTCCGACCGGCGCTTCCCTTTGGCTACGACGGCCCTCCCCAACAGAAGCTGCCCCTTCTCTAACTCGGCATCGCCTTCGGCTACGGCGGCAACACACGGTGCAAGCTGGAGTCCACCGTGTCCTCGTATCTTCCCTCACCCCCTTTCTCTCTCCCCTCGTCTCTCTCTGTTCTGTTGGCTGCGGCGATGACCCAGTGGTAGCAGAAGATGAACACACACAACATGGTGGCTCCCTAGCACCCAGCGGTGGCCCAGCCAAGGGCAGACGCGTGATGGTGGACCGACCGAGGGCTGTAGATCTAGGTTACTAAGGCGGAGCCCCAGCGGTGGTGGAGCATGGCGACGGCGGTGGAGCGATTGCGACAAACATCCTGTGCGCGGTAGTGGAGCACCGGAGGGCAGCGGTAGGCTGACCGAGGGATGCAAGATCCAGGGTGCGACGCCGGAGCTACAAATCTAGGGCGCGGCACATGGTGGGCTTAGCGGGCTCGATGACTGTCATAGAAATGGGCTCATTGGTGGGTTCATTTTAGTTTGTTTTTTAAACCTATTTTCATAGGCTGGCATTTTGATCGCCTCTGGAAATCGGGATTTCCAGTGAAGTTAAACCAAAGGAAGAAATATCGCCCGCCTTTGGAAATCTCATTGACTGACTCCAAAAATGGATTTGGTAGTAGTGAATGTGTTTTCAAAGTTCGATGACCCAATTGACACCTCTTGACAAGTTTAGAGGCCGCTAATGCATTTAACTCTTTAAATTTTGTTGTGGTTCACATTTAGTTGTGTGGTACATTCTTGAAATACTTTTCCTAGTATATTTGTCAAGTTTGTAGAAGAATGTAATCTCCATCCCAAAATTATGAGGTATTTTGATTACAAAAAAGTCAAATAAAACAAATTTTGACCCTTAATTTATCTTCCAATATTATTGTCATTTGCTAAAGAACCAATATCACCTCATGGGTGTACTCCAAATACAAATCTATTGATGCAAATTTTATACCCAAAACTTGTGTATAATGTGAATACTTGTTAGTCAAAGTTGATAAAAATTGACTTGCCAAAGGGTGCCTAGTTGAATTGGTTAGGTGGCCTCGACGGCACTCCTCAGGTCCTGAGTTTGACTCTCTGTGGGAGCGAATTTCAGGCTGAGATTAAAAAAATCCCCTCATTTGTCCCACGGCCAAAGCACAGGTCAAAAGGCCCGGCCCGGTTCTCACAGGGCAACAGTGTCCCTGTGACAGGGTGGGGCAGAGGTTTGGGGGTTTTCTCGGCCTGTGTGAGAAGGTCTTCTCTCTTACAGCAATGCCCAGGGGTGGCTTACCTCCTGCAGGTCGAGTTTTTTTTTAATTTGACTTTTCCTCGTATAAGATACGCTTATCAATATGGGGCTGAAGGTATATACGAAATTAAACATATTCTCAACTCTCTGTCAAAGAGAATCTTAATTAGTGGCTATGTGCAAACTAAGGCGTTTGGTAAGGATTTTTCAAACCTTCACATAATCCCTACCAAATGACTTAGAGATCCAATGTCAAAACTAAAAATGTTTCCTGGACTCTACCACATCCTGTAAACCACAAAAACCTGCTTCCCAAGAGAATTAGAATCAGTTTTCCACCAGAAATGTTTCTTCAATAAATGGGACTGCTTAATAAGGCCTAAATTTCTATTCACTTTAGTTTTTTTTGTGTAGTTCAAGTTTCATAGTTTCTTTGATCGTGTGTACCTTTTCCATGCTATTCATGCACCTTGTAAGACAACTATCGGCATACTTGAATGGCAATAGCTTCATAGAACTTTGCATGAACTATGGCAATTCAAAAAAAGGATTCAAAGAATTCCCTTGCTCTAGATAAACATAGTTTTCACCTTTTATCCCCTCATTCTACTCGTCACATGTGCATGGCTCCTCCGCTAAACTGTGTCAGGGACCTTCAGGGGTGAAGCTAGCACTAATATTGCCCTGGTGCAATACTCTCTAACACATCAAAAAAAACATAAAGGATTACTCCCTCCATCCCAAATTATAAGTCATTCCAAGAATCTTGCAGAGTCAAAGAATCTCAAGTTTGACTAAATTTATATAATAAGGTAATAACATTTATGATACCAACTAAGTATCATTAGGTCTTCATTAATTATATTTCCATAGTATATCTATTTGATGTCATAAATCTTTATAATTCTTTCTATAATTTTGGTCAAACTTACGATGCTTTAATTTGACTCTCCAGAATTCTTGGAATGACTTTATTATGGTGCATTGGCACCAGCAGGGGAGATCAATGATCCATTTTTACCGTGCAATCTTCTATTTCATCAGTCTTTTGCTCAGGGATTTTTACCAACGTCCGGGTCCTAATAGAAAGGCAAAGCTCATGCCACTTTGGACGAGTCACGAAAAGGCTATATTAAAATGTCCTTATATATACTTCAAAACAGGATACACACACGATAAGAAAAGGCACATACAAGTTGTTGAGAGACAATTATGTGAGACCCAAACCTTTTTTATCTAGTTTGGAACACGTAGCCCTTGTTTCTGCATAATATTTGCAGTATGCTTGCATTCCAAATAAATGTATAGATCCATAGTCTCACCTACTCACTCCAGCCATGAATATAGGAACCTATGGTGTTCCAATTTTGTTCACACAAACATAAGGATTTCTAAGTACCAAATAAAGAGGTAGCCAACAACCAGGAGCCGGCCGGCTCACCCCATCAATTGCGCCAATCATGAGCTGACCCAACTGCTTTAATGGTAGGCCTGAAAGACTTTTGTGTCCCTTCTTAATTAGGTTTAATTTATAGACTAGAAGGTGTTATATTTATAGATGTGTGTAGTAACTACTTCCTCCATTTCAAATGTACGTAGTCTGTATTTTTTTTAGATACATAGCTTTTCTAGTGTAAATGATTGTTGAATCCTTTGAGACGAGAATGAATATGTTATGTATATATCCTACACAACATGTGAACATACCCTACACATATATATACTACATAGGGATCATGATTTGGCACCAGAGTTTCATGTACTAAGATGCAACACATGCATCGTGTTCATTCAACTGCACACTCCCAACTATATATGGATGATGTGCCATCTTAGTTAAAAAAAGAAGCACGTGCACAAGCAACTCGACAGAGAGTAAGTCAGGTAGCTTGCTAGCTGTTACATGCAAAGATGGACCTTAGAACTTAACCAATACAGAGGGTGGACCGTGGACGCACTGACGCACAAGAGCAGAACGAAGCCCACACACACCGCGGAATTTGTGGCGCTGCGTAGCTCAGCACCGGGCACACGCTACGGCCACCACCAGGAAAGCACCGCGACCAAGCGCGGCGACTTGGCGCGAGCGAGCAAGCAAACCGTTGCCCTACCCTACTACCTCAGCAGGCGACCCCTCCACCGGTTTTGAATTTGAAAAACTCCCAACACCCCTCCCTCCGCTTCCCTCCACCACCACCACCGCCCCGCCTTGATGCGGTTGCGCGCAGCCGTCGACCAGCGACCGGCCGCCGTACGTTTAGGCTGGACTGGACGCGGCGCGCAGCCGCGGACACGACGAGGGGGCCCGACCTGCACCTGCACGCTCGCTCAACCGCACCGGGTCCGTCTGCACCGGCACCCGCCCGCCCGCCCGCATACGAGCGAACTCTCCCCAACGGACGGTCCGGACCAGCCAGAGCCAGACCACCAACGCCCACCATTCTGCCACGTCTCACCATTTTGCCACGTCCCACCGCCGCGCCACGACCCGCACCCGCACCCGCACCCGCACCCGCACATGCAACCCGGGAAGTGCGACGCGAGCCAGGCTGGGGTGCGACGAGTCGGGTGCGGCGCGCTCGGTGCCCTGCCCCTGCACTTGCCTTCCCTCGTGCACTCGCTGCGCTGGTGTCCCAGTGCTTCTCCTCCCCTTCCCTTCCCTTCCTCCATCCATCATCATCTCCCCCTCTTCCCCCAACTCCTCCTCCTCCTCGCCGCCGCCACTCGCCGTAGGGTTTGCGAGCGCATCCCATTCCAATCGCCCGCCTCCGCCGCGCCTCCCATCCCAGATTCGTGCCCGCCCACGCGCCTCCGCCCACACCCCAGTCGGAACCCGTACCATTCGCCCTGGACTCGCGAGCGAGGATGCCTCGGTAGGGCGCGTGCGAGAAAGCTAGGGTTCTCGCGCCCGGGGGCCGGTCATGGAAGACGCCGCCTTGGGCACCGGGCCACGGGACGATCCCGATCGGGCGCCGCCGGACCCCGCCGCCTCCCCCGCTGGTGGCGTGAAGACGGAGACCGCCGGTGGGGCGGAAGCGCCTGCTGCGGCAGGCGTGGCCGGTGAGGCCGAGCCGGGTGGAGGCGCGGCGGCGGCGCGGCGTGGGGGTGACGCGGTCGCGGAGGCCTCCGCGAGCGAGCCCACGGCGGAGTCTAACGAAGACGGCGGCGCTTCTGCTGCTGCTGCGGGCGAAGAGCGCCCCGCGGCGCGTGAGGCGGGCGGGGACGGCGGCGCGGGCGAAGGGCGGACTGCTGTGCACGCCGCGAGTGAGGTGGCTCAGGGCGGCATTGTGGGGGGATCGCAAGATGTGGATCCCGCGGTGTCTGAGGCGAAGATGGAAGTGGACGAGGGTGGCGACGCGAGCAAGCAGAAGCAGCGCTCTCGGTCGCCTTGTATGGCCAGCGAGGTGGACGTGGGGAGCGATCCGGGGGCAGCGCAGGATTTGGCTCCTGTGGCGTCTGAAGTGGAGATGGAGGTGGATGGCAGCCGTGTTCAGGAACAAGAGTGCGCAGTAGCGGCTGGGCCGTCTGAAGTGAAGATGGAGGTGGATGGTAGCCATGTTCAGGAACAAGAGTGCGCGGGAGCGGCTGTGGTGGGAGAGGCTAAGGTGGAGGAAACTGATGGAAGGGTGCTGAACCAAGGGCCTGCTGCCACATCTGCTGGGGGCCTTCAGGTGCGCGCCAAGGAGGCGGGGGAGTGCTTGGTCGGCCGTTACATTGGCCGCCACGCGCCAGGGCATGCGAGCCTTCTTATTGGGAAGGTTGCGTCCTATGATAGCACAGCTGGCGTTTACAGCGTGGTGTTTGAGGACGGACATGCTGAGGATTTGGCGTTTCCTCAGCTCCAGGAGTTCCTCATGCCCGACGAGAATTGTGCGTTAGGCATGAAGGTGAGCTGCAGGAAGAGGAAGCTAGACCTGTTGGTTTTGTCGGGGAGTGCCTCGGAGGTGAAAGAGCCAGCAAGTACTAGGCAGAGGGTTGACGGATGCGAGATGCCTGCCAACCCTGATGCGCTGCAGTGTAGTGGGTCTGGCTCGGATATGTCTGGGGATATCGAATCTTCGAGTAATTCATCTGATTTCACTAAAGAAGAACCATCCGAGACGTGCCCTCCTGTACAGGCTGTGGAGTTGCCCCCGTCATCGGGAGACATTCCTGTGCCAGAAGATTCCATAAGCTATCTCTTTTCGGTTTATAACTTCCTGCGATCCTTCAGCGTGCAGCTGTTCCTGAGTCCGTTTGGGCTGGATGATTTTGTTGCAGCCATTAATTGCGCTGTTCAGAATAACTTGTTGGATGCCGTACATGTCTCGCTACTGCGGGCACTGAAGCGGCATCTTGAATCTAAATCTGCTGAAGGATCTCAGATGGCTTCGAATTGCTTAAAGTACATATACTCTATCAACCCCCTTTTAAATACAGTAACTATTTTGTAGGTATTGCATTTATTTTTTACTTAAAATTCTGACAATATTTCACTTTCCTTGAACCGTGTACAGGTATCTGGATTGGACATTACTAGATGCATTGACTTGGCCAACTTTCTTACTAGAGTACCTGTATGTGATGAGGTGCATTAAGAATCTAGGGGGGCAGAGTTTTGCTAGAAACCTCCTAGCTGCCGAATACTATAAACTTCATGTTGCCACGAAGTTGAGGGTGCTGCAAATACTCTGTGACCATGTCCTTGAATCAGAAGAATTCAAAACTGTACTGGATGATCGAGTAGGCTACAATGAGGAGATGGAATATGAGATAGATTCTAGCACCTTTTGGGAGGCTGGTTCAAGGGCAGTCTCGACTAGAGCCTCGAAGGCCTCAGCTTACAAAATGATGAATGATTTACAGAACTTTGAAAGTGCTCCAAATGTAACAAATCCAGATGTTGCTGTAGCAGATGTTTCTCAGGACGGCAATAGTGATGATTGCCGAATATGTGGAATGGATGGGACTTTGGTATGCTGTGATGGCTGCCCATGGGCATATCATTCGAGATGTATTGGTCAAAACAAAGCTTTCCTTCCCCATGGAGACTGGTTCTGTCCAGAATGTGTGGTCAACAAGCTTGGACCAACTTCGTCAAGAATTGAACGTGGTGCAAGAGGAGCTCAAATGTTTGGCGTTGATATGTGCGGGAGGCTATTCATAGGAACCTGCAACTATTTACTGGTGTAAGTTCTTGCTTATTAATCATACAATACGTCTACTAAAGATTTGTTTTGCATGACCTGCTATTGTTTGTCCTATACTTCCTTTAATGTTTTGTTCCATCAAATACTGCAGGATCAAAACATCTTCAGATGTAGAGTCTTATGCAAGATATTACAATCATTATGATGTTGTCAAGGTCCTCCAGAGACTTGCTCCCTCAGATGCATATGTGGATATATGCAGGCAAATAATGGAATACTGGAAACATTTACTCGGTACAGTTCAGAGTGAGAGATCAACAATATTGGAAGAAGTTGGTACAAGACATACTCCACAATCCAGTATGTTGAGTTTTACTCCAACAAAGTCAGAAGATGGAAGTGGCTGGACAACTTCAAAAGATGGTGGGGACAGTAAAACAGTAGCACTTCCTCAAACAAATACACAACAGAAATTTGTCGCTAATCAGTATACAGTGTGCTCTGCTGAACACCTGGAGAAACAAAAATGCATGTCAAGCTTAGGTGTTGTCACCGAGAAGAATGTTGAAGTTTGCAAGGAAGCTCTGTCAGCTCAGAACAACATACATAATGCACCTAGAAATGGAAATTCTGGACCATTTGTGCCATCCTCCATTTCTCATCAGAATGGATCCGTTGGAATGGTTATGTCTAACATAGCACAAGCACAGCCAGCTCATAGTATATATCGTCCAGATTTATCCACTGTTTCTGCAAAGGCAGAATCATTTCGTCCATCTTTGCAAGATAAACACCACCTTCAGCTGTTTACTGAAAGATCTGGAAACATGAGTTGTGGCAAGGCAGCAAAATCGTCTTCTTTTAAACCACAAGCATACATGAATCTCTACAATCATGGCAACATTGCAGCGTCTGCTGCTGCCAATCTAGCTATTATAACATCCGATGAAGGTAAGGTTTCTGCATCCCAACTGACCTTAAAACCAAAGTGGAAAGTGGCTGCAGACAATGCTCTACAGTTGAAAGCATTTTCCTCAGCAGTCGCACAATTTGTTTGGCCGAGTACTGAAAAGAAGCTTATTGAAGTTCCAAGAGATAGATGTGGTTGGTGCCTTGCTTGCAGAAGTTCAGCAAGTGGAAACAAAAAGGCTTGTTTTCTTAACATGACCACGACAAATGCTGCTAAAAGTTCTGCTCGAGTTCTTAGCACCATGCGTGTAATAAAAAATTCTGACAGCCACTTCCCCAGTATTGCTGCTTATTTAGCCAACATGGAGGAAAGTTTGTGTGCCCTGTTGGTTGGTTCACTACAAGACGTGCAGCAGAGAGAACGGTGGCATCAACAACTAGAAGAAGCTTCCAACTGCAGAACTATAATACCCCTCTTGCTTGAGGTGAGTTACAGGATTTTCTTTTTGGCATCCTTTGATACCTCTCAATATTCTACAACTAAGTTGTGATAAGCATATTGCTGTGAATGCCAGCAGTGTTAAGGTGGCATCAAATAGAATAATATTTTTCAGTTTCTTATGCAGCTTGAGCTAGGTACATAATATCCTTGCATGCATTTTATCTAATAAATGAAATTAACTCTAATGTTAGAAACCAACAAAAAATTGTTCCTATAAATCATTGATATTTGACTCAAAGAAATAGCTGGAAAGGTGTTTTGTGAAATAGATAATTCAGTAGGGAAAGATATAGTAAATTTTACTTTGCCCCATGTAAAGCTAAACTTGTTTCAGTTTGAACTGGTATATGTATATATTTTCATTTCTTGACAGTGTATGCCACAGTAAGTTTTGATTTGAGCAAAACCTTGTGAAATAAAACTTTCATGAGACTTCGTGGCTTTCAATCATGTATATGAGGCACCATGAGGGTTTTATTAGATTTGTTATGGTTTCATGATGTTGAAACTTACTTTAACATAACAGGGTGCAAAATAAAATTGTTTGTTAACCTAGTGCAAAGGGAAACAAAGAATACTGTACCTGGTGTGAAAAGCAACTCACTCGAAAGAAAATTCTCCTAATAGAGCCACTGCGATAAACATACAAGATACAACAGAATAGAAAAGTTGCATGGTAATGCCACCTTGTGCTTCACTAGCACAACTCTGGTATGATTATAAGTACTAGATGATGTCTTTTGTAGGCGAACAAAAGAGTGGATATATAGTACTCGCACCGTTTCAATTTGTAAGTTGTTCATAATTTTTTTGGATACATAGCTTTTACTACGTCTACGTATCTAGATATACATTATGTCTAGATACATAGTAAAAACATTTAATTTAAACAATGTATCTAGAAAAGCTAGATGACTTGCATTTTGGAATGGAGAGAGCAGTATGTTAATGTGATAATATTGTGTATTAATTGCTTTTGGAGAATCAAGTTAGATATGCAATAAATGGTATTGAAAGAAAGATAAATAGCCTAGCTGAAGAAGGTTATTGCCATAAATAGCAGTGAAAAACGAATTCAATTGTTGTATTAAAAATTGTTACATATTATATGCAGTTGGAAAGCAACATCCGTGGAGTAGCATTTTCTGCAAGCTGGTTGAAGCCAATAGACGATTGGCCTGTGGAATCTCCAGGTCCATCGACGGTAGCATCTCGTCCTGCACAATACCAAAAGCGTGGGGCTGGTGGAAGGCGTGGCAGAAAACGTTTGTTGGCATCTGAATCTGGTACTGCTACTGACGATGACAACAGCTGGACTTGGTGGACCGGAGGAAATATAACAAAACGTACTTTGCAGAGGGGGGCTCTTCTACATTCAACCATAAGAAAAGCTGCTCGCCAAGGTATTACATGTTTTAACTATTAGAAGTCTTACTTGATCCTCTATCAGTATTCAGGACATGAACAAGTTGCCGTGTTCTTGTCACCTACTAGGTGGTAAAAAAAGGATAGCAGGTTTATCTTACCATGAAGGTTCCAATTTTCCAAGACGATCTCGGCAATTTTTCTGGAGAGCATGTGTTGGACTAAGCCAGACTTCATCTCGACTTGCTCTGCAGGTTTGCACTTCTGTCCTGATGTTGCAAAGAACCTACCTTAGCACAAACCTAATAATCATTTCTCTCAGGTTAGATATCTTGATGCCCACATCAGATGGAAGGAGTTCATCCCTCCAGATCAAATTCCTTCAGATGGAAAAAGCTCTGATGCTGACTTTTCTGCCCTCAGAAATGCTGTACTCTGTGATAAAAAAAATAATCGACAATAAGATAAGATATGCACTTAAGTTTCCCAACCAAAAGCATCTTCCTGTCCGTCTGACAAAAAATATCTTGGAAGCAGAAAGTGATCAGGATGAAAGTAGAAAATTGTGGTTTTCTGAAAACCATGTGCCACTGTACATGTTACGAGAATTTGAGCAGCATGCTGAGGCTAGCTCCTTGCCTACTCCAGGAATTCCAGACTCTAACTGTTTTACCAATTTATACCCAAGGCGAGTAAAAGCATCTGACGGAGATGTCTTTTCCTATCTCTTTCACAAGGGAGAAGTCTATCCCTGCACCTCATGCAAGAAGGATGTTCTCTACAGGTTTTTCTACGTCGCCTCATATACTGATTAACAATTATACATTTATTCTTCTTGAGATACTGACTTTTTCTATTTTGATTGATCACATGCAGGGATATTGTTAAATGCAGCTCTTGTCAAGGTATGGATATATGCCGTGCTTTTAGATTATCTGTTTTCCAAAAAAAATTCTTTGTAATATCCAAGAAGATATTTGATCAATTTTTTATATTTCGAATACTTTAGTCACAATGTTGCTATCTAAAAATAACTTTCAGGTAATTGTCATAAAGAGTGTACATCAAGATCTGTTGTTAGCAAAGGAGGCAGTGCTACTTCCAGTTTGATATGCAAGTTATGCCTCCAGAAGCAGAGTCTTATGCTCACTAGTTACAATACAAATACAAATGCAAGTTATATCCAGCATCAACAGAAGAGTAATGGCCAACAGCCAGTGGCCGCTCCCAGAATTGTATTTAAGGTTACTTCTTCCCATTCTGCTGAACCTGCTCCCAAAGTTGAAGCCGAGCCAGTCACAAAGGTTAAAGCACAACCAGTTGGAAAGGTGGAAGCTACAACCCAGCCAGTTGTGAATGTGAAAGCCGAGCCACTCGTGAAGGTGGAAGCCCAGCCACTCGCTAAAGTGGCAACTCAGAATATCACTAGTGTCCAAAAGAAAAAAGCTAAAAAGTCAAAGTCAGAAAAACCAACGAAGGCTAAAAAAGTTCAACCGATCACATATTTTGGTCTCATATGGAAGAAAAATAAGAATGACAAGGATGATGGAAGTGAGTTCAGGGCGAATAATGTAATCCTTAAAAGCAAGGATGGTATAGGTTCGTCAATAAAACCAAAATGTTGTCTATGTGACAAAGCTTATTCTCCGGATTTCCTGTATGTACGCTGTGAGAAGTGCACAAGTAAGTTTATTTAGCATTGCTGTAGATTAGATCATTATCTTTTTTTGTGTTATGTTTCAGTTCTTTTTTTAACATCTCGAAATTCCCTGCTTACAGATTGGTTTCATGGTGATTCCTTGCAACTTGATGAAGATAGGCTTGGTGAGTTGGTTGGATACCGATGTTGTAGGTGCCGAAGGAGAGCCATACCCCCATGTCCTCATTCAGATAATTATGTAAAGCCTGAACCAGAAATTAGTGAGCAAACAGTTGCAACATCATTGCTGTCAACTATGCTATCTAGTGAGGAGACTTTTGCTTTAGCAGATCAGGACCCACTGCTTGCTTCATATGGAATAGTTGAACCAATTGGGGAAGAAACAAGGGATGTTGATATATCAGCGAACACGGCAAGCATTGCCCCAGGAAGTAACCAGAAGCTGTCTATAAGAAGAGCACAAACTAAAATTTCTGAATACCTTGATCAAGCTGGTAAACCTGTGAATGAGTATTATATCCAGAATACACCTTCAGGCTATGGAAACATCAATTTCAGCCATATGAATGAAATTTCTTTTTCGGAGGCTGACAGTGTGGATGCTTCAGAACTATTGGGGTGGGATTTTTCCAAAGGAACTGCATATGCTGCCCCACCTGATTTCACTTCTAATCACCAGCAGAATGACACTAGCTGTGGCAGCTTTGTGATGGACGAGTATGAGCCCCAAACTTATTTCTCGTTCACTGAGCTACTTGAAGCTGATGACACACACCTTGACAATGCATTTGGGATGGCTACTGGTCTCCAAGATGATGTTAACGGCACCGGAAGCTTTGCTCAACAAGGAGTTGGTTTTGATGATATGTCTTTCATGGTAGAAGATGGAGCTTCAAATATGAACTTCCCAACAAATGGTTCCACACCTGAAGAGGTAGCATGCCGCAACTGCATGAATACTCAGCCGCCACCCGATCTACGATGTTCTGTCTGTGGCCTGCTCATACACCTGCATTGCTCACCGTGGGACCAAGGTTTAGAGCCCGCCAGAGCGGCAATTGGAGTTGTGGTGGTTGCCGCGGATGGCAATGATAGACTTCTGAACTTCATTGCCTCTGTTTAGAGTGGCGACTGACAGTTGTGATGGCAGGTAAATCTACCGATATTCCATTTAGATACTTATCGGATTTCTTGTTATCAGTCTCTGGGTTTATAGTTACTGAGCATGCTTTCTGTTTAGGTGGAAGGTACAAGTTTGAAGAGAGCCATCCTCCATGAATCTGGATGAAAATTCTCCAAGCCGTTGTCATGCTGTGCTACTGTTTGTTCGGATCATTTGACTATTTGACCTAATTTTAACCATTATACAGTTAGAGAAAAAAGAAGAGTAGCAATTACTGCTGGGAGGTTACACTGTACATACTAAAAGGATGGGTCGACAGCGACCATTTTCCATTCTTCAGGCTGTTTATTTTTGGGGAGTTTTAGAGCTAGGATGCTGTTAGCACATAGCAACATGGTATATGGGTCGTCGGGAAAACCATATTCATGTAACTGAATTATCCTTGGGTTCTCTCTTCTCTCCTTTTGAGATAGAAGTGTCTCTTGGTCAAGAGTGGCCATTTCTATGCCTATGCAGCTTTTCTCCATATATTGCCTACAGTTTTTTTAATTGTTTTCTCGGTTTGTGAAAATTGCTTATTATTGCATTTGCCTAGGTCAACTAATTAATCAAATGGCATGCAATTTAGTTCCATTCTTCCTCTAAATTAATTACTCTCAGTCATCAACATAAGGCGTTTTAGAGAACCTAAGTTAGGGCATGTACAACATCTAGGTGGTAGATGTCAATAAGTCGTCGTCTCTTGACTAGTCTATTAAGCATTGTATTGTGTGTGGATGTCGGCTCTTTATTACGAAGACAAAACATATCAACTCCACTATTTTTTTTTTTGTTGTGGAGCCTATTTTAGAATTTGTATAGTAAAAAATAGGCTCCAACAAATATCCTATCTGACTTTGTAAAATAAAAATTTGTGGTCATATAAAGTCAATCATGGACGCTCGCTATCTGACTTTGTAAAATACTCAATCCATCCCAAATTGTAAGATGTTTGACTTTTTTGACACCAAGTTTGACCACTCGTCTTATTCAAAAATTTGTGTAAAATATTACTTCTTTCGTCGTGGTTTGGTTTATTAATAAAAATTCTTCAAGAATGACTTAAATTTGACTATATTTGCATAAATTTTTTGAATAAGACAAGTGGTCAAGCTTGGAGTCAAAAAAAAAAAGTTAAACGTCTTACAATTTAGGATGGAGGGAGTAGTAAGGTTGTTGTTGACCTCTTCTTTTTTAAGGAGTTTTCTATTTTATAAAATAGCTAACTAAATAATAAATTTTGGCTACTCATTTTAGGCAAGCTGTTAGAGTGACGTATTTGGATTGCTTTCGGGGCTTGTCAAAACTCGTCCCAGGGTAACTTGACGCTAGTTTGGCTTGCCATGCTTTTTCCTTCAGCGTTGGGTAGCTTTTCTCGTTTTCCCGCCGGCTCACGAATGAATTGGTCGCTGCGGCTTTGGCGTGCGTCCTCAGGACGTATCCGAACATGCCCGTCAGCCCGTGGTTGATTCAAAGACCAGCGATCTGACCTAGGCGTCCGGCGTAGGGATATGGCAGCGGGTCGAGTAAGGTGCGCATAAACCATTTATTCGTCCGCAAGCATATTCATGATTATAATCACCTTCGGCCATACGATATGGTAGCTGGTCGAGTAAGGTGTGGATTAAGTATTTATCTGTCCGCGAGCATATTCGTGATCTTAGCTTTCTTACCTATGCTCACGTCCAACGGGTATCAGGTATCCGTCAAGTATATTCAAGAAAGATCAAATAATAAAAAATCATTGCGATATGAAATAATAAATTCATAGTTAAATGGCACGCAAATATGTCAATCTCACTTACATAGAGTTTACACGGACAATGGCCCTATTCGCTTGTCTTATGAGCCGTACTGTTTCAACGAAAGAATAGTATTTTTCTCTCACAACAAATCAGCGAACGGTACTTTCAGCCATGGCTTTTCAGCGAAGCGAACACGGCCAATTATAGATGGCCAATGGGCCGTGCTGGCCCGGCATGGCCAGACGTCGTGCCGTGCCAGCCCGATGGGGGTCTTGCCTCGACGGGCTGTCGTGCCTGCCGTGCCGTGCCTCCACGGGCTTCGTGCCTGGCCTACGGCCCATGGCACGGCCCGTGGGCCGTCTGACCGTGCCATGCCGCCCGTTGGGCACAGCCATTTTTTCCGTGCCGTGCCGGCCCACAGCCCGACAACCAAAAAACATCTCATTTTCACCAGATTTTCACCGAGTGTTTGAACCACTTCTTTATTTTCACCAGGTTTGAACAAGATTCCATCATTTTCATCACCATTTTCACAAAAGCTCACAGATTCACATTCACCACAGTACCACAATCACAAATCACAACACAAGAGAAAAGACAAAGAGACAAGGTTATATGAAAATGATGATCAAAAGGAGCTGTTTTGTGCAATGCTGCCTCATTAAAAACCTTTCTAGATAAAACTCACCCTTGTGAGAAACCCTAGAAAGAAAAAAAAGAGTGCAGCCAGCTCAAAGAGTCAAAGTCTTAGTAGTAGTGTGACAGCCAGAGGAGGGGGGAAGAGGCCAGGGAGGCAGCCAGAGGAGGAGACAGACAACAGTTACAACGATGGCGAGCGGCGGCGGAAGGACAGACAGGCACGACGAACTCACATGGTACACCGGAGGAGGGGGGAAGGGGGGATAGGAAGGGAAAGGAGGGAGGAGATGGTTAGCGAACTCAGGTCGAGGTGGACGAGCGGTGACGAGGTCACCGGAGCAGGGCCGGTGAGCTCATGGCGAGCGGCGGCGAGCTCCAGGCGGCGGATCGAGAGCAAGCGAGACGAGACGACTGCGACTGCGAGCGGCGGGAGTGGAGTGGGATTAGGGTTAGGGATCAGGGGGCGGGGGGCAACATATACACGGCCTCGTGTAGGGTCGAGATGGCGGACTAGAGGGGGGTGAATAGTCTTTTCTAAAATTAATCGCGTCGGCTAACCGATATAGATGCGGAATTAAAACAATCGGTCTAGCCAAGACTACACCCCTCTATATATGTTCACTAGCACCTTGCAAAGATACTAATAAAGCAACTAAGGTGCCGGGCTAGCTAGAGCTCTCCTAAACAATTCTAGGAGCAAGGTCACACAAACCTATGCCACTAGTACTTTAAGTAACAAGGGAGCTCATACACATGCTAGTAAGCAAAAGCACAAAGCTAACTAAGCTTACTAGCAATGCTCAATAACAAGGCAACCAACGCCTAATTAGAGAGCGCAAATACTTAGCTACACAAACTAAGCAATGTGACTAATAAGGTTACTAAAACCAAATTAGCCACGCAAGGGATTTACTTCTATGCTACACAAGCAAGAAGGTAATTAGCTAGCTACACAAGCTATCTAATTACAAGAGCAACTACACAAGCTTAAGATATATATATAAGTAATTGCAAGTGTAACACCCTAGGTGTTTATCATAAGTTAAGCAATAGGTTTGAGCTCAAACATGACATGTCAAGTGGTAATCAAGGTGTCAAGATCAAATTTACATGATGGAGCTCCAACTTAAACTTGGGCCACGCACATTGCTTACATATGGACCCTTGTTAAGATTATGCAAGAGTAATGTTAAACATGCTTATTCCATGTACATTACATCCCCATGCATCCATCTAGACCCGTGGAAAAGTTTCATGAAGTTTGGAATCAAAAAGTCACATGAAATGATAAGTCATATCTTGGCATGAATTGCTTTATCAAGTGGATGGAAACCTATGAAGTCAACCAAACCTTGGTACCTTGCTCAAACAACTCTACTTGCACTCATGAACAAAAGTTATGAAGGGTTCATGTTGAGCAGGTGGCCAGAAAATGCTCCAATGGATCAAAAAGGATAATTTAAGCTTCATCGTGATCCTACTTTGGTCAAAGTAGAACAGTAGGTTCTATACCAGTTTTGAAGTTGCACCTTAAATAAAAGTTGAAGATTGAGTAGAGTAGAACAAACTTTGTTTTTGGAGCAAGAGCCAGATCAACTTGGAACTAAGTCAAACAGAGGCTCGAAAATTGAATCAGCGGCTGTTTTCAGACTTAGAATTTTTCTAAGTCTGGAATTCATCGTCGTCGCCATTGGCATTCCGCGTTCTCCAAATTTTGCTAAGCAACTTGAGTTGGTCCAAAAATAAAAGTTGGAGATAATTATTTGGAGAAGAGGATACCCAAAGATGGGATCAATTGGACCAAGTTTGACTTCCCAAAATGAACAAAAATCGAGCTTTACTTTGATCGACATTAATTCATTGACAGTGTCAAATTAGGGCCTATTTATCTCTTAATCCTTTGCTCTAATGGCTATGAACCTGTAACAAAATTTGTAGAGCATCGGATGGAGATCAAACTTCGTTAAAGGCCCACCATCAAATTCCCTACCGAACCAGCCCAAAAACGGCTTCCAAGACGCGCTGGATCGCGCTCGCCACCTGCTCGTCAAAATGCCGACGCGTGGCCAGGGCGTGGCAGCCATGCGAGCCGAGCGCCCCCACCTCCATGCCGCGTGCCCCTGCGCCCGATGCGGATAACCAGAGCCCCGGTCGAGCTCTCCATCCCCTTCTCCACTCCCTGCTCGCTCCCTCTCGCGCTCTCCTCGCTCCGCTCTGTGGCAGGATGTGCGTCCGCCATGGCCGGCGGGCCGAGCTCACCGTCGCCGCCGTTCCCTAACTTCCGAGCCCCCTCATGACCAACCACGCGAACCACCGCCTCCGCCTCCTTCTCCTCTCCGACCGGCGATCCTCGGCCGAGCGGGAGACCGCCGCAGCAGCCCAGCCATCGGAGCCGCCGCTGTGTGGGCCGCCGCGCACGTGGCTGGGGCTCCACGCTCCACCTCGGGCCGAGCCGAGGCCACCGGCGAGTGCGCGCGGGCCTCCCGGTGCTCTGCCGCCGCTCCACCATCGCCGAAGAGCCCCCTACGACCGTCACCGACGAGCCACAGTGCCTCCTCTGCTTCCTAATCCCGTCAG